TCCGAAAAATAATTTCGGACTTTTAAATGTGAAGTGCTAGTATTGTGATGCCTTGCATTTCAAAAAAGAGGAGGTGAACGGCCATTTTAACAGATGTTGTCATAATGGTCTTCTCAGACTTGCCGAGCCTGGAATCAAAGACCAACTTCGCAACCTCTTCTCCAAACCCATTTTCATGACCAACATTTTGAGGTACATCAGTTGTATGGCTTTTGCATCTCTGTCTGCTTCCAAAGCCCATATAATTTTGAACCAAATCTTCTGCTATCGAATACGAAAAATCATGGAGAATTTAAGTTTTATGTTGACCAGCTTCTCGAAAGAAAAATACAATTTCAAAGGAAGTCTGCAACGTCGCAAATGGAGAAACGTCGTCTCTCATTTTTCCCAAAAACATGTATGTATAAAATTGATGGCATTATGACTGGCCTCCCTCAACTTATATTCGTATGTAACGATAAACAGTGGGACGCGTTTGCTACGGCGCCTTGATACAACTATACAACCTCGACGGATGTCCGTATTGCGTCCAAAAATTTGAAGGCGTTTTGACCCCCTGCTCATACTACCTGTAGTTGATTCGATCGACAAACGCGTTGGTCGGCGGTGACGGGGACTTGATGCATTTTTTTTATCTTGATGGATGTCCGTATCGCACCGACTGAGGTGCGAAACCACGTATCTCCATTGCGGTGTTTCAAAATTTCCGTCCTTAATTCATCTCTTCCATGAGAAACAATCCATATTTACGACTTTAAATTTTGAACCAAATCTTCTGCTAATAAATTAAGAGCAAATGACAATGTGGGAGACCACGCTTTAGCAATTCAATTACATAAACATGTGCAACAACTCTACCCAGAACATTCACAACAATCATTGGATCACAATGAGGACTTAATACAGATATTTGGTCGGCAGAAGATTTGGTTCAAAATTATATGAGCTTTGGAAGCAGACAGAGATGCAAAAGCCATACAACTGTTGTACCTCAAAATGTTAGTCATGAAGATGGGTTTGGAGAACAGGTCGCGAAGTTGGTCATAGATTCCAGGCTCGGCAAGTCCGAGAAGACCATTATGGCAACGTCTGTTAAAATGGCCGTTCACCTCCTCTTTTTTGAAATGCAAGGCATCACAATACTGGCACTTTACATTTAAAAGTCCGAAATTATTTTCCGGATAATCATTTTCGATAAAATTATCAGTGCTCTGCCGAAATGGACTGAGGTTATTTCCCTGTTCACCCCTACGTCGTACATTATCCATCTCGCTGAGATAGCCATCATGCCGCACTTTGCGTCGCGCGGATAAATTGCGAGAAACATTGCCACGCTTCGCCGGACGCCCACGTTTTCGACTCCGATCCATTCCCAATGTCAAAACGAATACGCGCACTTCACTAAAAATTCGGGATTCTTCATGCACGACAAATATTAACAAAATTCAAAAGACGACGCGCACTGTACGAAGAAATCGGAATTCTTCATAAGCGACGAATGTCCATGACGACGAACGCCTCGGGCAGCCGATTCATCAGCTGACCGAGAACGAACAGCACGGGGAAAACGAAAAACCGCGCATCTCCCAGCGTGACGAACGGGATAAGCGATCTTTCGGGGGGCGCGAGGGGCGCAGGGCCCGACGCGCGATCCCCGTGTTTTTCTCGACCCCGCGGGACCGGGACGGTCCCGTCGGCACCTCCGACGCCCGGATCGGCACGACGGTTGCGGCGCAATTTCGAAACAGAAATCGGGCTTACGGAATTATATATATTATTAGGATTAGGATACTCACCACAAGATAAAAAAATTGAATGTGCAGTAGGTAAAAAAAAAAAAAAAAAAAAAAAAAAAAAAAACAGGCATTTTATCTTCCATTAATTCGTTTAGTTTCTCGGAGTTTGGAGTGAAGTTTGAATCACTTTTATTGAGAAAATATTAAAATAGGAGGAAATTCATTTTTCATGCAAGTTCTTATCCCTTGAAGAACCTCTGAGAAGGACCAATGTCTCTTGAAGAAATTTATTGTTCTTCTTTTTCAACCCACAACCGATTTTTTATTTGTATGGAGCTCATGGAAGAGTTCTACGTATGTTGAAGAAATTTTGCAAGAAACGGGACATGTGAAATATACAATGCGCAAAACATACACCTTAAACTTTATCGCACAGTATAACACTGATCGAATTAGCTTCATAGACTAACAGGAGGTTAATGTCTCGCCAAAATATCAACAAATCAGCCAAAATCAGATATTATCAGTAGAAAAATTACCTAGATTGAAGGACCGTGTGATTCACGATTTTATTGATGACATTAGAGCAAGATCGGATTCCCAGCAGGCGTGACTTCCTATCATTCAAATGAACAGTTTTCACAGATTAGCGGCTACTTATTACATAGTATCATTAGAAGCAACCTAACAAAGGATTTTGCGGACACTTGTAGACATTTTTTTATCGAGCTATCTTAACATTTTTTTGGGCGTTTTTTAAAGCAAGTTTAGGAGGTGGTTTTGGTCCTCCTAAAAATATGCCAATGCACATTAATGATACACCAAAATATTCCTTAAAGAAAGGAGAATAAGCATGTTTAATTGAAATTTTGATTTATCTCCCAAAGAACTCATGCAAAAGCGAAATAGAACCTTGATCACACGGCAAATTTGATACCACCTGTAATGTCAGCTTTAGGCAAACCGCATGTCAAACGGAAGGGTTCAAAGACCCTTGAACCATGGATACATTCATTTTGGAAGCTTAACTACCAGAAAACCAAGAAAACATATTTAAAATCCGACTTTTTTTTTGTCGCCCATGACCGACCTCTACCTTTGACTCGATCCACCGTGGGCCGCCCCTCAAAATTTTGGGGGGACCAAAAAGTTGCTACTTTAGAGTACAAGTTGTACTACTACGTTCAAAAATGGCGAGTTTTGAAAGTTTTGTGCGGGGGTGCGCGGCAGGGGGCGCCGCGCAGTGCGGTGTCCTTATGGAGCGCACCCCCGCACAAAACTTTCAAAGCTCGCAGACAAAAGCACGTAGAGACGTGAAATTTGGTATGAGAGGTCTTGAACATATAGGCTATTGTTAGAGGAGATCAAATTTTGTTAATGACACTTTGGGGCGGGAGTACTGATACTTGAAGGCGAGCGTTTGGGCGGTAGAGACCGAACTCATAGCTCAAAGACAGACAGACATAGAAAAGAGAAATTTGATGTGAGACCTACACATACGTGCTATTGTCGGATAGGGTCAAAATTTCATAATGACACTTGTGGCGGGGTGAGGGGGGCGGAAGCAGTGATACTTGAAGGCGTGCGTTTCGGCGGTAGGGACAAACATTTTAGTCCGAAAATTTGCTTATTGGCAAAGACATAAATTAGAATCTTTAACTGCCAATGATAATAATTTGTACGCTAAAAATATGTGTATTATGTAGGTAATAAAAACTTTTCATCACATTCTTATGTTTCAGGATCTAAAAACAAAGCGAGTGCTCGCAAAATATAGCCGAGGACTAGTCGTACACTGCAGGAATGGAAATGTTGCATGTGTGAGGAATTTGCGATATTTGTGGGGTTGACTATTGTTTATGGATGAAATGTTTTAACAGCATGATGAAGTATCCTGTGTTACGGAAAGCATGACAACTTTTCAAAACTCGTAAGGCACACCGAGCGATGAGTGTTTTAGCACCAAACTCGCTTTGATGAGTTCATGTGTTCCCATTATTGTTCACATCTCTGCCGTGATAGGTTAGAGAGCAATAAGTGTCAAATTATGGAAATCGAGTTTCCTTCAAAATTAGTCTGATCTTTTTCAGATGATATCACTGAAATTGCGGAAATAGAAAAATTCACCTTAATTGTATCAAAACAAGACAAATGAGAAAGCCGTAAGTGCTCAAAAAATGACGTAGTTTTAGGCAAGACAGCAGTAAAGGCAATATTCCTCGAGAGAGCCAATGAAAACAGTGCTTTTAAGTAAAAAGCCGCCCTCTTCTGCCAATTTCTAAGCTGAAAATGTGCTTGATGTGTCTTCAAAACGCAATCACTAAAGTCAATGTTCTACAATCATGCAGAAGATAGCATTTACGACCGTCTTGCCTAACAATAACCTGGCATGAACAATAAGAATACCCTTTTTACGTAATTAAAATAAAATCAGTAGATTTTTAATCATTCCAACGATTTTTAGGAGTCTTTCAGACGATTAGTGGCAATTTGACGATGAACGGAGGCTTCTTTCAATAAAATTTTCTGGTCAGATGCTTCTAAGCCCACTTTCTGAAAATTTCATTTTTGCACTTACTGCTCTCATCACGGCAGCTTTCTTTGGCTGTTGGCCTACCTACTTGGTGAATGATGAGCTTAGAAAGATGGAATGAACCAAAAGACCTTGATAGTACGATAGGCGGTCAAAATCTGAACCTATTTCAATCAATTTAGATCAGTCGGATCAAATTCTAAAATCTTGTTGATACTAATAGTTTTATTTGATTATTTCATGCTAAAACCGAATTTGTGGAGATAAATCAAGTCTATAATGGTCTATGATGTATATTAGTTCAATGATAGGGGGATCGAATGGAATGGTAAAAAAACTTGAATTTGAATCAATTTATTTTATGAACAAAATTCATCACATTAGAAACTTTGTATAAACCAAAAATATTGAAAACACAATAAACAAACCGAAGGGTTTAAGAATTTGCATTGGGTCCTCTCCTTCGCCCGAATGTTTGAACTGTGTTGACAAATCGCTTGTTGTACTGGCATCGCCTTTTGGCACGCCCTGTCTTCTTCTTCTTCTTTTCTTGCTTTTCAACTTTTGGAGTCTGACCCTTGACTTTACCGGCACGAGCTAAAGATCCGTGGACCTTACCTACAGAGACGGATTGCATTAAAAAATGTGATAGGACTTAGAGATACTTCAAAAATCAGGCTTAGATTGCAGATGGCTGATTTCAGGTATGTCAGTCCAAAAATATTAAGCACATCTAAGAATGGACTTATTTCACTTACATGCAAGTTAAGCAATTGACAGTAAAGGAGCGTGATTCAAAATGCCCTACTTTCGAGACCCCCTCTCCATTAGATTCTCTTGAACTTAGAAACATGATTAATTAAGCTAACTGTATGGGGGACTGAATTGTCACAGGTTTAGCAATCCTGCAGAACCCAGCTGGTAGTTCCTGCCTTTAAAAGGGTTTAGAGGTGGTCACTAGTTTTTAGGCGAGAGGACCACCTATGGGAAGGACAGATAAGGCTTTAAGCCCTGAAGTAAAAGCTAAAACCTGTCTAGAAGAAGCAACTTCGAAATTGGACCCTAGTCTTTCAGGGTGTGATTGAGGCATCGGGCTGATCCCTTGATCTTCGGATGTAATACTACATAAAAAAACCTGACCAAAAATGCCTAGCTCACCTTGGCAGAAAAAGGACTCTTCTACTTGGGTTACGAAAATGGAAAAAGGACACCGGCTTTTGGAACTTGGAATGTCCACAGGGTATCTACTATATTGACAGAGGTTGAGTCTGAGATTTACAGTAACAGGGTAAATGCAACAGTACTGACAGGGCCCCCCAAAAAAGGGCTATAGATCTGATTGCATTTAAGATTATGAGATGTTTTTCAGCGGGGTAACACAAGTAAAGATTGACGAGCTCAGCAGGATGCTGCAATCCTCATTTGGAAATTTTGGGTACTAGGATAAAATGTCCAAAGTACAGGAATGTCTATAGTCAAAACAGTTCACATCTAAAACACATCCAAATATCTGAAATGTCCAACAGCGGTATCATGGCCAAAAACAAAACTGCCAAAATGTGAAATAATTAGACTAAGTGACAACATAAGCAGCCTGGGAGCTTTCTACATCAATATCCATTGAGAAAATGAGGAAGCATGAAGACGATATTCCACAATATCCTAGGGGAAAAGCCTATTATGATCGAGTTAGCAACAAGTCACAAGACGAAAAAGATGAGGAGGTATGAAGAATTTCAACCGACAGGTAAATGGTAATATTAATTATGACTCACAGTAACCGGACATTTGGGCAATTTAATTTTGGTGATGGTACTGCTACTTGACATTCCACGTACTTGGACATTTTTAACTCAGAGACTTTTCTGATATTGGACATTTTTCTACTCTGGACATTTTGACCTATTACCAAATTTTGTGTTGGCTCATTCAAAACTGGGAATCTGAGAGTTCGGGCATCATCATGATGAGTCTGACAATTTACAGGCACAGAATTGCACTGCTGGGAGTGTGCGCAGTGAATGACGATGCTCCTGGGGGGGTTAAAAGACCAATCCTTTACACAGCAAAATGAAGTAATGGAAGACATTTCTGCTGTAAGGGAATTGCTGGTCTTAGAAGACCTAAATGGAGAGACAGGAAGAAGAAGACGATACAAAGTGATTAGACCATATGTTGAGAAAGTTGCAAATGATGGCTGAATGATTCATCAATGGCTGTCATCAAAGTGATTGAAAAATGTCGACAGGATTTCACTACCATTGCAATATTCATAAATACACCAGGATTCAGCCAAGGAGAGGTTTAAGGCTTATTATTGAATCGCAGTCTCATGTGGCAGCAACTACCACTTACTTGAGGCAAGAATAACTTTTCCTGCGAAGAGCAGCAGTCGAAGAGTGGAGCCTTCGAAACAAGATCAATAGAAAGAAAGAGTTGTCACTTACACAAAGAAGTATCATATCGATAGTCTCTGGCATGATAGCGTTAAAAGTTTGTATAGGGAAAGACTGGACGAAAAGTTGGTGGAGAGGTCTTTCAGCAGAACTGAAAAGCATCATCAATTCACCATGCCCTAGATTGTATTTGCTCTGCGGCCAGAGAGATCTGAGAAGCTTGTAAAGAGGATGATTTGCGGCGAAAGCCATACTGATGAGATGAGGAGGCTCAGCAAGAGATCTGAGACGAGGAAACTAATCAGAATTTATTTTTATAATCTAAGAGGATTGAAGACAAGGTCATCTGTAAGGTCTCCCCAAAAAAGACTTCCAAAAAATTACATTTTCCGGTCATAGCAGTGTTTTATTCGGTTAAAAAACGACTTTAGTTAAGTTATAGAATTTTGGGCGAGATCCAAGCAGTGTTTGAATTGCAGAGGCTTCATGCACCGTATGGGCCTAAAAGTTCAGCTTTGACGCCTGCATATTTGAAGCCGCGGCCAAGGTTGGCGTGTAAATAAACATCCGCCGGTATCCTGTTGTGTGACAGTTAAACCATATTTGGACTACATTTGGCAATTTGGAGCTATAAATTCTAGCTCGGTTTAAAAACAACTTATGTGCCATCAGTTTCCCTATGCACACAAGTGTTTTTCCAGAAGAGCCAGAATTTTTAGTTCCAAATTGCAAAATGCAGTCCATTCAACATTTCGAACGATACCGTTCTGTATCGTTTATATTGTATCATTAGGCACCCAAAGATTTTGACAAGATTCGAACACTGAATCTGAGTGCTGTCGCATTGCATATTTTTGAAAAGTATGGTTCCGAAAATTAATGCATACCAATTATTTGCTAGTGAAATTTTTTTTCTTTCTCTTTCAGGAATGAAGCAGTTACACTGGAGACCCAAAAATATGAGATGATGGTCCTCTATTAGACTGCTTTTGATATAAATTAAACATTTTGGCGTGCAAGACGCACAAGTATTTTTTTGAAATTCCAAACATTGTCCAAACATACAATTTATTGTTAGCTGCAAATGCAGTGCATTTCAGCAAGTTAAATAATTTTTTTAAGTTTCGGAAAATATTGCTGGCGTCTTAAAAATTTAAGGTAGTTTAATTTTAGAAGACTTCTTTTGATTGACATTAACTATTTGGGCCTGCAGGACGCTGGAGAATTTTAAAAAATCCGTTAATTTGACCGAAAACGTTCTTTAGGCGCAAATTAGATCAATTTCAGCACAATGATAGAGTTAATAAATTTTGGGAAATTTCTAGCATCGTATAAATTGAAGGTGGTGAACTTCTGATAGCATGGTTTTGAAAAATAGAAATAAAAGTTTAGGTCCCTGAGATAGAATTTTGGAAGATTGCTAAACTTATCCAAAAACCTAGTATTGGGCTCCATTATCCTCAGGATCACCTTTTTCGCGATCCTGAAAGAAATGATACAAAAAAAAGTCTGCAACTCTCATTATCAGACGTGAGTAACAAGTAATAGTAACATATAAGGTAAACGTGAGAAAAAGTCAGAGGAAGATAAATAAAATTAGAGCATGGGGAGTGTAATTAAGATGTCACGATCAATCAGTCATCCCAATGTTGCGATGCATCAGAACTGTTTTCAACCATTATTCAGATTTTTTGCAGCATACATATGTAGGTATAGCTTGCCGCGCCTGGTCACTGGTCAGGAAAAAACGCAATTGATCGCAGCTTTGGCTCGCCAAACCTGCGAATAAGGATAGATTGAAAGGGAGGGGGGGGGGTGTTTGCCGAATTTAAGAGGAAAAACTGTCCTGACATAAAAATATGCAAGTTGAGTCTGTGGCCCAATTATCAGATGTTCAGTGGAACCTATTCGCATCTTACATGACATGTTAAATTGCCTGAAAATGCGACTGTAGGGTGTCCCTTATTTTTGAAATTTGAGAAAATTTAAGCTCCCCAGGTTTTAAAACGTGCTATGAGGTGCAAAAATGGAAAGTTTTCTTAATTTTAAATTTTTTTTGGTCGCCTCTCATTTACCCGAGAGGGCTCACAAATAAAAATTGGTATTATACGAAAAGTAGTATCGTTTCTCTGTGAAAATCATAAAATTGCGGTCGTTCAGAACAAATATGTCGTCAGTTTGGCCGTACCTGTAGCTGGAAAGTCGCAAACGGCCATTTGAAGCGTGGAGACCACCCTCCAGCGCGGCGCGCCACTTAAGGTACGGCAATTAAGACGCGGAATCGGACGCGGCGGACGACCCGAGCGAGCGAGGCGTCGAGTAAGTTTCCGCTCCGCCGCCGTGCCCGGCAACTAAGCAGCGGAATCGCCTCCAAAATTCCGTCGTGTTCGTCGGCAGACTCGTCATAAGTATCCGATGATAACTCGCGAGTGTGTGTTGCGCCTTGCTACAATGAACACTCACCACGTTTCAAAATCTTTAATATTTTTAACGAGAATACCAACCAATATATCCGTTTGTAAAATTTCTAAAAGTATTGTTCAATGAGCGAAAAAATGTTTACAAAAAGTCTAAGATAAGCGTATCTACTGTTGCATCTCTATAGCAACGTCAATGAGATATAAGAAGTTCAATTTATCAAATTCACTCTCTCTGTACTCCGGCTGTTTATCTCATGTAATTAATTGTTTTTTTAAATAATATTCTATCTTCATTATAAGTATAATTTCTTTTTATTGTTGACTCAACAAAATGGTGACCCCGACGTGATTAAATACAATAAAATACAATTGAAGAAAAGTTATTGACAAGGTTATGTGTAAAAAATTCCTATCATCATATGAAACTGTTCAGTGCAGTTAGCGTGCGCTTCCACTCAATAATTTCATTGATTATGGGTTGCAAGTTCATGTAGTTAGCGTGCGCTTCCATGACTTGCAAAAGTGACCTTTTTGAGGATTTAAAACCTTTGCAGTTAGCGTGCGCTTCCAAAGGGTTAAATTCTAACCTTCTATACTATAAGCTCCAAGACCTCCTAATTTTGCGAAACTGGTAACGCTTAGTTCCAGCGTTCTACCGGGCCGATTTTCATGATTTTTGCGGCTATCGACGGGCAATTGCCTCTAGATAAGCCAACTCTTTTCAGATTTTCAAAATATGGCCCAGGTTTTTTTATATTACGTGGTAAAGTTGCGAATTCTCCCATTTAAGCAATGTAAATTCATACTTTTTGTCATAGTTCGTTTGAGCATTCTACCGTGCCGATTTCCATGATTTTTGCGTAAATCGACAGGTAATAGGCCCTAGATGAGCCCGCTGCAATCAGATTTTGAAAAAAGAACCCAGGTTTTTTTAAAATCACGTTATAAAAGTGAGTGAGTTTACAGAATGCTCCGGTACTGCTACCGCTATGCGCGGGAGGATGCGCAATGGTCGAGGAGGTTGCGCAGTAGCTGGGTAGCCTGCGCATTAGCTCTACACTTATCTACACAAGATTCGCACCTGCGACTTCAAGTCGAGCGGTGGCCAAGTCGTATAAGACGTCAATTGCATCCGCTCTAATCACAGTGTGGGTTCGATTCCCATCTCATGAAATCTTAATTAGTACCTGATTATCATTATTCATTGTTTTACTGCAATATTTCATCAAGCAGTCTTTCCAAAACGCGTCCTTTTAATTTTAAAGTAATTTTAAGTAAAGTTTAAAATTAAAGTATACCTCATATCGTATTTTTTTAGGGGAAAAATAAAACTAACACTGATAGGAGGGTAAAAATAGGGCCGCGAAGCGGCCCATTGATGGCGCGGAGCGCCTTCAGGGGGTTGGGCCGCGTAGCGGCCAGGGGGCGTAGCCCCCTAGTAAATTCTATTATCCTTGCAGTTGGCGTGCGCCTCCAAGGTAAAATACTACAGTCCTATTTATAACTGGAGATAATACCATGCAGTTAGCGTGCGCTTCCATGGTTTAAATCCTGACGGAACATTGTGCTCCAAAGGGACAGTGGCAATTTATGCCTATTAAATTTGGTAGGTAGCATTTTGCTCCCCAAATCATGCAGACTCTACTTGCATTAAAAAAAAAAAGATGTAATGGCCACATCGCTTAAACATTGCGGAGGACGCTCCATAAGACAATGTACAAACTTGTATTTCAACTTTCCTGAACAACAGCTGTTTTAGGCTGTGTTGCCATTCCATCATTTTAATGACATTTTATATGGTTGCAGAAGAAATTAAGCTATGGAAGAAGATGAGGGAAATTTGAGGTTGGCAAGCCTTGATAGCACTAAACGACAGCTGGAACTTCAATTACAATGTTTCAAGCATGTTTTGGAGCCAGACTCAATAGATGTAGACGCTTTGAAAACCAGATTTGAATCCTCAAAAGGAATTCTAACTCAATACCTACGGGTATTTCAAGAATTAATAACAAAAAATCCAGCGGCATACCCGATTGATACTGTTTTAACATTTGAAAAACAATATTACGAAATTTTGGCTCAAGCAAATGCCTTTATACATTCAGTGGATCCTAGATCTAATATGCCAGGTACTAGTTTGGAAAATCAATCTGTCGCAAGTCCATTCCCGGTAACTGACCAGTATATGATGAAATCATACTTAAAACCACCTAAAATTCCAACTATTGATGGTAAAAAGAGTGAATGGCCTGCATTCATACAAATGTTTAACTCCTTAGTGCATAATAATACTGCTTTGTCAAATATCTTGAAGTTTCATTACTTAAAAATATCTTTGTCTGGTAAAGCACTTGATTTAATAAAACATTTATAATTCGTAGAAAACAATTATGCAGCAGCATTAAATACACTGAAGGAAAAATATGAAGACAAAAAAGCTTTGTTAAATGTATACATGAAAAGTTTACTAGATTTTGATGATCCATGTCAATGCAGAATTGACTCAAGATTGCGGGCGAAAGACGTTGAAAGAATCAACAATAAAATTACCCAGACATTAGAAGCGTTGGTAACGCTGGAAATAGATACGACAACGTGGGATCCTTTCATCATACATGTGGCAACGTCTCGTTTCGACAGACCAACACTGGCTGAATGGGAAAAAGTGACAACACCGAAGGAGCTTCCAACTCGTAAGCAACTACTAGATTTCCTCAAAAAGCGTTCAAGAATTTTAGAAGCGGTCGAAACACATGGTTCAAAGTTGTAACACTGCGAACTTCAAAGAAAACCTTCGTTCGAGCAGTGTCAGAAATTTGTTTATTGCCAGTATTTGAGAATCACTCATCTTGAAGTGTTTCACTTCAACCGGGCCAGACTGTTGATGAGATATAAGAAGTTCAATTTATCAAATTCACTCTCTCTGTACTCCGGCTGTTTATCTCATGTAATTAATTGTTTTTTTAAATAATATTCTATCTTCATTATAAGTATAATTTTTTTTTATTGTTGACTCAACATCTACAGTTTCAGATTAAGGAATGAACCGTGAACAGAGAGTTGCAACATTGCAAGCAAAGACACGCATTTTTTTACCTTTCAGGCATGATGTTCAAAACAAATTGGTCGATTAGGTTTCTAGGTATAGCAATGTCTAAATAAATTGTTCAGGTGCCGAAAAGCTCTGAAATAGTTATTTCGTTTCGTTTTTACAGATTTATTTCCTGGAAAAAAAGTGTCATGTTTCTTTTACCTACTTGTGTGGTATTATTTGCACCTGGTACGAGGTAGGAATGCCATGCATTGATATTGTGCTACAAACAATTTTTTCATTCATCATTTATATAGCTCCAAGACCTCCTAAAGGGTATCCCTGGGTAAGGGTACCAAAATGCCCTTCCTCACGGATTTTGAATGTAATGGTCGAAACCCTTTTAGGAGGTCCTAGAAACATGGTTTTGGGCAATTTTTACCTCCTTACCCCAACCACCCCCCCTCCAACCCCGAAAAACCCATTTTTCAGGGAATTTCGGGCTATTTTCACGTTTAATTTCATATCTCACGCGTCTTTCGATAAAAATTCACCAAATACACATCAGACCAATCAGATTCTTGGGTAAAAAAATTAAATTGATCGCACTATAATAAGGCCCCTAAAAAATTCGTAAAAATCGTAAATTTTCGATTTTTTCCAGATTTTAGCGATTTTAAAAAAAATGAGAACACATACATTTTTTGTTTTTGCATTACAATGTAGGTTATATACCCAGTTGTACCCAAAAAAAATTCAAGCCTCCACGCATGGTGGCTCCCACCGAAAAAAATTGTTTTTTTGGCGCAAAAACGGTCAGAATGGCTATTTTGGGAACGGTTCACTCGCACGCTATCGATATAGAAACAATAAAATCACTAATTTTGGTTCCAATGTTTCAAGAAGCATGCCCTAGTATCGTCAGGAAAGGTTTCAATTCAATGGAGTCCTTGCGCCCATCGTAAAGTACCGCTTTTGGCGCCAAAATGGTCAACATTGCTATTTCAGAAGAGGTTACTCGCGTAGGGTAGCCCTTCTTTTTGACTTTACGGAAATTTAGAGTGCGGGGCCCTGCAAATGATTCCATTTGATGGGAAAATATCAGGGGAAAAATGCAAATTGGGAAAAAATATTTTAAAACGCTTGTTTTTAACGCTATTTTATAGCTTAAAGTAGCGAGCAGCGTGCGAGCGTGGCGCGCGAACACGCGTTTTTCCGTCATTTCGCGACTTTTTCCCCTCCCTTTAAAATGTTGCTACGGCTTTGAAATTTTTGGACGTATCACACTTTTCAGAGCACTTTACGAGAAAAATAATGAAATTTATCTCGCCTATTTTAAAATGCCCTCTTTTCCATTTCAAAGAGGCCACATCGTGCGATTTCGTCGATGATTCTTCATAACATTCTTCCGGCGCGGTTTACCTGAAGGAGTTTAAATTTTTTGAAAAGTCAAAAGCAACATTTCTTTAGATTCTGGAAGTAGAGTGCCTACCAAAAAGAAAACAATTCTGTTCAGCTTTTAGAAAACAAGTCGAGTTAAAGGTATTTCGGGGCTAACATACAAACTACCGGTATAAAGGGAAAATCAGCAAAATCGCACGATGTGACCTCTTTGAAGGGGAAAAAAGGGCATTTTAAAGTAGGCGAGATAAATTTTCATTATTTCTCTCGTAAAGTACTCTGAAAAGTGTGTTACGTCCAAAAATTTCAAAGCCGTAGCAACAATTTAAAGGGAGGGAAAAGTCGCGAAATGACGGAAAAACGCGTGTTCGCGCGCCACGCTCGCACGCTGCTCGCTACTTTAAGCTATTTGAGAGGCATTTTAAAATATTTTTTCCCAATTTGCATTTTTCCCCTGATATTTTCCCATCAAATAGAACCATTTGCAAGGCCCCGCACTCTAAATTTCCGTAAAGTCAAAAAGAAGGGCTACCCTACGCGAGTAACCTCTTCTGAAATAGCAATGTTGACCATTTTGGCGCCAAAAGCGGTACTTTACGATGGGCGCAAGGACTCCATTGAATTGAAACCTTTTCTGACGATACTAGGGCATGCTTCTTGAAACATTGGAACCAAAATTAGTGATTTAATTGTTTCTATATTGATAGCGTGCGAGTGAACCGTTCCCAAAATAGCCATTTTGACCGTTAATAATATGATCCTGACTCCCCAATTCTACGAGAGGACTGAAGACGCAAATGAGATCGAAATGCGAACATGAAATCTCTAGCTACCCTGTGTCCTGAACAGTTGAAAGCAACAACCGCAATTAAATGATTACCATAGAGAAATGACACAACTTTTGCCAAAATACCAATTTTTATATGAGCCCCCTTGAGTGCACCATGAGAGGCCACTAAATTATTTTTTAAAAAAAACCTTAATTTTTACACCTCATAACACGTTTTGAGACTTGCGGAGCTTAACTTTAATAGTTCCAAAATAAGGGACACCCTACATGACTGGCTGTAGTTGCGGCTCGCCAAACTTGCAAATGTGGTGAAACTTAGAGGGGAGGGAGGGTGTTCGTGGAATTTCAGTGGAAAAACTGCTCTGATCACATGATTATACACAAACGAATGTGTCAGTGGCCCAATTTTTAGATGCCTGACAGCACCCATTCATTACTTATACGACAAATCAAATCGCCCGAAGACGCAATGTCCGTAAATGAGGAAAATTTTAAGGATTTCATATATTTTTTCCGACCATCAGTTATTGAAAATGGTGATTCAAAATTTTACAGTTTGAAGTACTGATTCTTCCAATTTTTCAGATTATTTTTGTTGATCGAACAATAGTCCCTTGATGACTTTGCATGGAATGACCCCCAATTGTTTCATTGTTCATATCTAAAGCAGTCTATTAGAGGACTACTATCTCAAATTTTTGAGGCCCTAGCATGACTGCTTTATTCCTAAAAAAATGATACATAAGAAAATAGTCGAAATGCATCAATTTTCGGAACCGTACATTTCAAAAATATGCAATGCAGCAGCACTGAAACTTCACCTAAAATTCTGTAAGAATCTGAGACCACTATGTAGCACATACTGATGAGAACTAAAGTTTATACCTCCAAGTAAAGGAACTGTTACATCTATGCTTAAGTTGCTGAGACTGGAAACAGCTTGATCATCCACCAACGGTGTGCCACAACAGTACAAGGATAGAAGCTCACTTGGAATCTTTTCAAGGGTAGCAATTTTTTCCTGAAATCAAGAAACAAAAAAAAAATGTATTAGACTGGTACTAAACTAATGAGTTGAGTGTGGTTCAACACACGCGTCATTTAGACAGAGTTGGTGAAAAGCTGTAAGTGATAAATTCAGCGTCAACTGAAATTCTTATTAGAGGGGACATCCCGAGCATGAAATTCTCTCAACGAAGAATGCTGTTTGGTGCAACACTAGTCACGGTCGATCAGGAACTAAACTGCAGATGCGTTACGGATTTAGTTAGAGCCATTATCAGTGCGGCGCAGCCTCATAATTTTTCTGATTTCAGTCTCAAAGAGGTCGTGAAAACCAGACCAAGATTTGGGTATGCGGTCATGCCGGCAAGCAAACTTGCAGCACCTAATGAGCGATTGTTCGAACAGCTCCTCTGAAGGCTTGGTTACTATGAACGTGTCAGCAGTTGCCTTTCTGATTGGTCGTATCTAGTGTAGTGTAGCTCCAAAAAGCATATCTCTACTGGGGAAGTTCATGCTCTGATAAGCTTTTTCCTTCAGAAATGGGGGTTTCAGTTGACACTGAATTCATCCCACATGTTATTGAACCCTTCTTAAGCGGCCCATGTTCGGTGGCCATGTTCTGATCTAGGCATTTCATCGATTTTCTGACATTTTCCTTCGATACCATCAGCTGAGGCGGCTACAAGTAGCAGCAGTTCACAAATTGACGAATATTTTATTCCACTAATTTAATGAGAGGAAAGATGGTGCCAAAACCCAACATTATGATTGCATTTACTAGCCCACTTAGAATTAGATTTGATTCAATCTTTAACAATGTAAGGGTCGTTTTCAGCTATAGGGACAAAAGTTAGCAAATATTTGGTTGGAGCTCATCAGAAAAAAAACTGAGAAAATAATATTTTGGGAAGAGGCTCTAAGTTTCAATGAAAGACGTATGTTTCGAAAAAGGAAGCGTCCACCTTGAATAACTTCTGAACGAATTCAAAAATCGAAAAACGCCGTAACACGTGCTCAATATGTACGAGGAGAACCTTTCCGTACATGTTTATTTTTGGGCCCTGTTGGGAGGCCTCCCAGAGGGTCTGAGATCCCAGCCACGGTAGCTGGAATATTTTAAATGGCAACCCCAATTTGTGATTAATCATTTTGAAGGTACATAATGAAACAAAATACAAAATTCTGGGCGCAAGTTGCAAGTGCTATCTATCACAGTTTCAAAATGTCGACGGGTCTGAATTCAAAACAGGAGGAAAGAGGTATTCCGCTGCTGGAAAGGATTGGGATGAAACCTGATGTGGAATATTTCATGATAAAAATGATTTAAAAATTTCATGAAATTCATATATTTTTGTGAAAAATTGATGAAATAATAGAAAAATTGTTAAGATATGAAGAAATCACGAACTTCTCGTTTATTTTAGCCCCTAACACAGTTTTATTTGACACCTATTTCTCGCAAAAAAAGATCGATGATTACATATTCTTTAAACTCAAATCCCTCACCCATACAACAACCCAATTTTCAAAAAAAAAAAAAAGAAAGAAAGAAAGAAAGAAAGCGGGGTTTTTTGAGCTTGAGCTAAAAGAACGATTTTCTGAAAATCCGAAGGTGTAGAATACATAAAGGTTGAAGGTATATTATTTTTTCCCTTCCTTACATCTTTCTCATCTACGGTAAAAACACTATGATGTATGTAGTTCCACGGACGAGTTCTATGGTGACCTGGGTATTCAGTGCATCCTCGCGTAGGACCCTAGTAATCCTTCCCTCCACACCTTGACTCACCCATCGCCCACTCCAAAAGTGAGGTTTGGCCGATGATTAAAAAATAATGCATAAGGCGGATGGATTCATGAGAAATAAGTACATTTTTGGCATTTTCCGACAAAGTAGGGCCTGCCGCATGTAAGTGAAGGTTGAAAAATTCTATTTTTGGCAGATATACATGATCCTATGGATTTTTGAGAAGTCCACCAGCTGATATTAGCAGTAAGTTGCAAGGGTCCTACCAGTGGCGTGGCGTGAAGGATCGATTGTCGATATTTCTCCATTTGAAGCTGTAGTAAAGAATCGATTATCAAGGTGTTCGTTGCAAACACCTTGATAATCAATCCTTTTCCATAGATTTAAATGGCAGATCAATCGATATATCGCAAAGCACGCCACGCTACTTGGTCCTACGCGAGATCGTTGTACTAGTAACTGCTCACAGATTTTTACATTGGCTCTTACGGGAGTCCAGGGTCCTATACTGCCGTGCTAAGGAAGAACGCCGTATGAACCAAAAAAATTTGTTTTGAGTTAGACATGAGATTAGACTAAAGGAAACATGCTCTGTTCAATGGTGAAGTCAGCAAAGGCGTATCTTCATTGCTTTCAGAGATATGGAGGGGGGTATCTGCCGTATGTCCCGCATAGAGGCGAGGTGACAACGATAGATGGCCGTATGTCCAGGGTGCTCGGGTGCCACTCACGGGGTTTTTTCCCTGTGCTTTGAGGACATGCGGCACTCGCCCCGTGCAGCCCTCGCCCCGTGCAGCCCTCGCCAATTCCCGGACTCACGGCGATGTTGGGCCGTTGATCACCCCTACCACCAACCCTTTTATCGGATTTCAGGGTTCCAGTTATGCATGCTCTGAGTAATTGTGACCACTTATGCTGTTTGTCATCTGCTGGTAGCATGTGATTCGTTTCCGGATAGATACGCATTCTCCTTTCGTTATCATTTTCGTTCAAAATGTTTCCGGGTGCAAGTTCTACCTCATTCTTCTAAGGATTAGAAACTAAGATTTTGCCGTGAATTTTTCACAGTATATTAATTTATATTTGAAGACGATTAATGATACCTTGAACGATTATTATTATTATTATTATTAATTTATTTTTTTTTTTTTTGGATCAAATTCTTCACTTTTGTTTTCCTTCTTTATTTATGTTCAAATAAAATGAGAAAGGGAGAATTCAAACGCAGATACACACGAGCTACGTTGTTTTAGTTAAGTTCTTAATTTCTTTAATTGGAATGGTTCCTCTGCTTATCTTACTCAATCCTAAAAAGGGCATCATATTGTCCGCTAAATTTGCGTATATTCTCAGCATTTCGAAACCATCAATTTTATTCGACGATCTTTCTCTACATTTTCAGTGGAAAATTGTACTAATTCTTTTTTAGACAAGTTCTTGCATTAGATTTACCTTGTATATTTTTGAAGTTTAGATTTCATAAGTGAGTAAATCAAGTAATTTAAAAAGCTAGCCTCGTGATGAAAAAAATAATTTGATGAATGCGGAATAGTCTCCTCGAGATAGAAAGTGAAAAAAGGGAGAAAACCAAGGTTGCAAAGGGAAAGAAAGGATTTTATTATTTACTAAAATCAGGAAATTACTGACCACTGACATTATTATTTTTCGCGCAAAACTTACTGTCTTCATTTGAGGCCAACTTTCAATTTAACATGCCCCTTATTCAAATGAGAAACATACAAATAAAACAGAAAAATATGAAGCTTCCGATTCACTTGCAGTTACTTTCGCATTGTCTTTCCTTTTTAATTTTTATTTCAATTTTTAAAATAGCTCTACACCTTAAAAACATGGACTGTTAATGATCTTGGTTGTGGGTAAATTGATTCCTGCAAAAATAAACCTCACAGAAACGAAAGAGGTGAAATCCCTATACCGCAGCCGGCAGCGTTGGAAACGCGTCCTCGGCACTAGGATGGACACACGGCAAAATCGGCACAGTGAAAGGACCCTGCCTGCACGGACAGTTTGCCGTGAGTCCGACATACCGTCATTCTTTTGTGATTTTCGGGGAAGTTATTATCTTCTTGCAAATGATCTAAGCGCTAATGAACAGCCAAGGGATCAAGCTGTCAATAGGAGAAAACGAAAACTTAAAATTCGCAAACCTCGCAGAGAGGCATGCCGTAGACTTTGAACGTAAATATATCAGTTTGAATCTGATGGTTCATACGGCGTTCTTCCTTAGAACGGCAGTATAGAACTGGTCCCTGGTAGTCCATACGGCGGAGCACATAAATTAGCTTTTGATAGCCTTTTGACTAATAATGCAATACTGAAATCCGACTGGAGAAACAAATAAACTGAACTTCTCAAAGAAAGAAAGAGAGAATGTAGTAGTAGTAAGGTGGGTGTGATGCTGCCATAGGTTACGGGTCAATAAAGTTCCTTGCTTTTCACAATTTTGCATGCTTTGAAAACATGCTTCCCAAAGACATAAAGACGGAGGGCTAAAAGCAAAAAATTAAGCTTCTTTTCAACCACCTCTACTATTGGCTAGAGGATTGGCGGCGAAATCGGGACAAGTTTGAAATTCAAATGTAGGGCGGGAACTAAATAAAATTGCGGAAACCAAGTATTCTAGGTTGATTTTGCCCAAATTCACTGACCCACTCATATTTCTTTAACTTTAGGTTAGCTTTGGTCAGTCGTCGACCAATTAATTTCATTTGGGAGTAACGGTCATCTAGAACTGTAACGGCCTGTTAGAACTAGAGTCCCTTGATTGGGGTTATTCTTGACCCATGTCATGATTAATTAAGCCATATATTAATACCTTCAAGTTTTTGCATTATAATGCAAAAATTCAGTCTATCAGGGATAAGAGGCTACTTAAAATAATGTACATAGGCTTGTGAACTCTTACACGGCTGAAAAGGTGAGTTAAAAACAGATGCACCCATTAAATATATTTCAGATATAATAATTACAAAGACGAATAATAAAAATCTATGATGTGAATGATGACATGTTGAAGATAGAACTCACCTTAATCTGCACTAATTGATCATCGATACCACACTGGACAACATGATTTTTTGATATTCCACGGATATTCAACTCCATTTTGAGACTGAAAATAAAAAAGAGGTTATATTTAAAAGGCATCCTATTAGAATTTGTTCGCTAATCATTTCAAAATATTGCCTGCAGCACTCATCACTTCCTAGTAAAAGGGCACAAGGAGAACATGGCGACGATACTAGCGGAGATAGTAAATAGGGCGCTGAAGGGAGGGAATATTCCAGAGGTGTTAAAGAAAGCGATAGTAACGCCCATACCCCAGATAAAAAGTACTAGGAAAGTTGAGGAAATGCATCCTATGAACTCGTTGCCAGTTGTGGAAAAATCATAAAAGGAGTGGTGATTAAGGAAATAGTGGAACATATTGAAAATAACAATATCCTAATCGAGGAACAAAGAGGCTTCAGGAAGGGGAGGGGGCAGAGGAATTGACACAAATGTTATTCAAGGAGTGGAGGGAGGGTGAAAACAAAAACAAAATCATAGTGGGTATTTTTCTGGATTTAAAGAGAGCATTTGAAACGGTGGATAGGGGAATACTGTTAAAAAAGTTGGAATTAAATACGGTTAAGGGTAAAGCGCTGGATTGGTTTAAGGGATACCTACAGGATAGGAAACAGGTGGTCAGCTGGGGTGAGAAATTAACGGACAAAATCTGTGTCGAGTTAAGGGTACCGCAAGGTAGTAGATTGGGGCCGGTGCTTTTTTAATATACATTAATGACATAAAAAAGGTGCTGGAGGAATGTTTGCAGGTGACACATTAATTTATATGATAGGCGAAGATATTGTGGAAGTACAAAAAAAAACTGTCAGAAGAACTAAATAGGGTAGATGAATGGCTAAGGTTGAATAAATTAAAGCTCAGCATGGAAAAATCTAAATTTTTGGTATTTAGTTCGAAAGGAGAGCTTAGGAATATAGAGGTGAGGATAAAAATTGGGGAAGAAAAAACAGGGAGAGTAAGGGAATATAAATACTTGGGGGTGCTGGTAACTGAAGACTTGAAATGGGACAAGCGGATAGGAATAATAGGGAGGAGAGTAAGTCTACTATGTAGGGTAAAAAATATGTTGACAATTGAGGGTAAGCAGTTGCTATACCATGCAGTAGTGGGGGCAATATTGAATCACTGCACAACTATACTTTTTGAAGCAGGAGAAATTGTTATAGAAAGGCTGCAAGTGGGATAAAACAATGCAATGAGGTAGAGGTATATATTAAAACAGGGTGGAGAAGAAGATATTGGAGGAATGTTGAATGAGTTGGAGTGGTTGGGCATACCTAGAGTTGTTCATTAAATACAAGGCCTTTGTTTGTATTTATAAAATTAAGAAAGAATATATAAGCGGTGTGGATGATGATGTAAAAAGCTTAAGTGGGGGGATAATGCAAAAGGGACTAGGTATGGCGGTAAGATTTGGGCCTACCATAAAAAGGGTATTGTGGTTAAAATGATTTTCTATAAAGGGGTAAGGGAATACAACACATTCGAGTGCTACAAGATGGAGGAATTGGGACTGGAGGCATTTAAAAGGAACTTATTGTTTAAATTGAGGGTATACCAAAATAATAACTGGGGAGATGGAAGATTGTAAGAGAAGTAGACAAGGAGGGCTTAAGATAGGGGAGAACAAGGACGGTTTGTGAACGGAATGGGATTAGCCTTACAGGCTATTTGAAAGAAAAAGAATTAATGCACTAGGTGGTTTCCTTCGGAGGGTATGGATTCGATCAACATGAATAGATCGAAAAATGAAAACGTGAATCGATCAACATGAATCGATCAACACATTGTTAAAAAACCGGTGTCGATTCGGTCAACATGAATCGATCGAAAAATGAAAACGTGATTCGATCTACAAATTGTTAAAAATCTGGTGTCGATTCAGTCAACATGAATCAATCGAAAAATGAAAACGTGATTCGATCGACATGAATCGATCGTCAGTCAATTTAAAAACACCCGTGTCGATTCGATCGACATGAATGGATCGAAAAATGAAAACGTGAATCGATCGACAACCGTGAATCAATCGACAAACCCGTGAATCGGTCGACAAACCCGTGAATGGATCGACAAACTCGTGAGTCGATCGACAAACCCGTGAATGGATCGGCAAACCCGTGAATGGATCGACAAAAGCCGTGAATCGATCGACAAATCTGTGAGTCGATCGACAAACCCGTGAGTCGATCGAAGTAGTATAGATCAATTCACGTTTTTATTTTTTGATCCTTTCATGTCGATCGAGTTGACACAGGTGTTTTTAAATTAACTGTCGATCGAATCGGTGTCGATCAATTCATGTCGATCGAATCGACACCGGTTTTTTAACAATTTTTCGATTGATTCCATACTCTCCGTTTCCTTCTCCATGAAAAACATGTCTATAAAGGTCGACGAAGGTCCCTGCTCTCCACAATTTCTCGCTAGCGGAAAAAGAGCTGCCACTAGTCCATAGGTTTTTCTGTTGACCAGTGGGAAGAAAATTTGTTACCAATTTCATGCCACATGTTTCCAAAAATAAAAAAAATCAATCCGGAAGCTCTGCACAATCTTCACAGGCCTTCCTCAATTTTAGCGCCAGCAGGCTCACATGTTTGAGAATAATATCAAATGTCTACTGCGTGTCTACTGGTTGCCTTAAGAGTAGCACATTTATCCAAATTGCTAATATATATTACTAAAATGTAAAGACAAAAAATTTCAAGTGAGTTCTAGCTCCATGTTCCTCCCTTGTCTTAGGCCCCTTTACCCACTGCAATCGGCTGATCAAACGCTTTCTGCACTCCTCTTCCTCAGCGTCTGTCATGTCTACATTACATACGCCCACCACCCACCATAGCAAAAAAACATGCATCGGATGCTGTTTTCAACCCTCCTCTACTAAGCCACATTTCCTGATTTCAAGTGCCGATTCCGGCTCCCTCTAAGCATAGATAAGTCTCCGCGACTGAATTGAATGGATAGATGACTGAAGCATCACTGCTAGCGGAATTAGGAACCACCAGAATCAAGTAGTTAAATTTAGACCAAATCCTGCCAATGAACCAAATCCCTGATAAGGTTCAAAAGGGCATGCCAATAGACGCTATTAGTGGCGCATCATTATAGGGATTCTCCACGTAAGACGCGTTGTTACACTCAAAAAGTGAAGTCAGCGAAATGATGTCAGTCCGCCATTTTGGAGTTATCCGCTTAGAAAAACAAAAACAAATATTGCCTATGACGTAGTAATAGCAGCTCAGCCAGCTCAGCGGACCGCAGCCCATGGCTGAGCGCTTACCAATTTTGCTGAGAAGATGGTGGCCTTTGTTTACAAACTGGCAGCTCAGCGGATAATCTCAGAAAACGTTTCACAACACTTTCGCAGAGCTCAGCAACTCCGCGGATAACTCAGAAGTCGCAATTCTGACTTTAACGACGCGTCTCATATCAAATTGGATCCAAACAATAACACTGGCATAACCTCTTCAACGTTACCAATGCGAAAGAATCAATATAGGTGCGTTGTCGAAGTAAACTTACCGTTTGCGCTGGGTGCTCAGCACTAACGGATATCACATGACCATTGACTTACCCGTTGGGAAACACATTGTCGGTTGTCTCTGTTGACTAAAACTGTTGTGTCTTGAGTGCACAATTACATTTTGAGGTTAGCTCAGCACTCTCAACTACCTCCTGAGACCGATGACTTGTTGACTTACGTTTGGTAAACAGTCCAGGACATCGGGCAATCCAAACGGAGTCGAACAACGCTGTGCGTTTGGAATCAGGTAATTCCGTTGCCCAACGTCCTTAACAGTTTACTTCGACAACACAACTTGTATATCGCTTTTCTGTGACGTGACCATAGAGTACAATAGAGTCGCAATGTACTGGAGCGCTAATGAAGTCAATGCATGAACGGGCCTTTCCGAGCCGCTTGTGCTCCGAAAAGTGTGAACCCAACGGCACTTATTATCTTGATGGCTTAAGGAGAAATCAAGAACTGCTTGTGTTTTTTCGAAATTTTTTGATGAATCAGCATTAATTTTTGCAAATTTTGCTATTAATAGGTAGTCAAAGCCATTGTGAATCCATTAATGTATCATACTCCTGGATAATATTTAAAAAAAAGCGTAAATTAAGACTTAAATCAAGTGTGAACCGACCAGCATTTCTTATCACGGCAGTTTACGGGAAAAGCAAGGACTGCTTGTGTTTTTTCGAAATTTTTTAATTCAATCGATATTAATTTGTGCAAATTTTGCCATAATTAGATAGTCAAAGTCAAAGCCATAATGAATCCATTGATGTATGTTACTCCTGGATAATATTCATATAGGAATTTAATTTTTGACTTATACCAAGTGTGAACCAACCAGCATTTTTTAACACGGTGGCTTATGGAGAACTCAACGACTGCTTGTGTTTTTTTCGACTTTTTTTAATTCCATCGATATTGTTTGTGCAAATTTTGCTTGAAATAGATATTCAAAGCCATAATGAATCCATTAATGTATGTTACTCCTGGATAATATTCATAAATGGACTACATTTCAGACTTATTACCAGCCTACTTAGCTGGTTCAATGTGAGTGGACCTGACAGAGACGTTCTGCTGTAGCGGAGCCGAGTCAGGAGTGGGGAGCGCGAGTCTCAGCTCATGCGTCATCACTAGTCGCCGCACATTAGTCTCCGGAGTACTGGACAAAACAGCCTCCAAAAGTGGCTTCATCGGCGCTCCAGTACATTGCGACTCTATTGTAGGTACTCTATGGACGTGACACTAGAAGCGTCTATTGGTCTGCAAAACATGAATGACAATGTACAGGTGCCATAGTTACAATGATGCACAATTCACACTGGTACCATGCACAACTCACTTTACACAAGCATCTATATCTTCTTCATCGTCCTACTGCCAATTCAGGGGAAAATAGTCTATTTTTCCAGGATTTCTGTGAAACTGTTGGGTTACATCCACTGCTGGACACACCTCCCAAATGTGGGTCGAGAAGTTTGGGATAAGGTTCATACACCTCTCTCTGCTGAGCTTAGCAGACCATAGGGATGAGGTGAAAAAAAGTCCCATTCAAGGATTCAGTCCAAGCGTGAACAAAATCCTGGCGCAGAAATTCACCATATGATTCAGATGTTAAACCGCGAATATATTACCCATTGTTTTGGGTGTAGTACTAACCTTCATGATAATATACTAAGATTCGCCAAAATGTACCGACTAAATGTGCCGATGAGAAAGTTCAAGAAAATTTGAGGAAAGCTCTTTGAACTCTCTCCCTCGGGACTCATGGTAAGTACCTTGGCTAACATGCACTTCCGCAAATGCTGTAAGGAAGGGAAACTGAGAACTTGGCGAGTGCAATTTTTACTTCAGATAGAACGATACATGCTTAAATATTTACCTGTTGGAAGAATTGGATGTGTAGGCTCAAGTAAACTAAGAGAAAAGTGTGTACACGTGCAGCCAGAAGATCGGAGCTGGCATTGAGATTGAGAAATGAGATTAGTGAGCAAGGCGGATAAAGAATGGTGGTCGCATTTCGATTTTGGCTGCCATCTTGAAGATGTGTGACGTGCAGAAGGTACGGGCTTTTACCGCGCGATTTGAAATGTACCCGAGGTGTACCCGATGCGATGCCGCGGCGCGAGGCTCATACAACTTCCAGACGGAATTATGAGTTTTCCTTCCTAATGAAACGCTTTCAGATCGTAGTCTGAGTTAATTTTTACTGAGAATTTGCAAGGAAGTTACAATCATTCTAATGTTTAATATTTCTGGCTGAAATTTGTGTTTAAAGAAATGTACCCGATGGGCTTTCTGACGAAACTGGACCTATCATTTTGGACTTAGTATATTTCGGATTTTTGAGAGCTGTATAATGCGGTAGTTTTTCCTTAGAAATTTGGAAATAACGTCCAATCATTCTTCTTTTTGATGCTTCCAGGAGAAATTTGTACTTTCGGAAATTTGGGAGACAAGTGTGAAAATTGGAAAAACGGAGAGGGGGTCGGGGATTTCTGAAAAACAAAGGGAGGACTCCCCCCAGACAAGGGGGTTCGGGGGATCCCCCGAAAAATTATATTGATAATCAGGTACCCATGGAGAAAATAAGAAATATTATAAAAAAAAAATTAAAAAAAAAAAAAAAAAAAAAAAAAAAAAAAAACCTCTCACGGTTTTTAAATTATTTACTGATAAAGATAGCAAAATAAAATACACCGCAGTAATTTCACTTTAAATTCGGGCTATCAACGCCAGAAATACTTACAATGAAAGGTGACTATACAATACCTTGTAGCGTTATTAGAGTGCAGCGTAAACCTCAAACCCCCTAACATGCCCTAACTAGAGTACCTGTATAGCGAGAGTATGGACAGATGTGAAACTCCGAAAATCCATCAGGCCTTCACCGATGCTTCTGCGAATAAATAGGTTAGGGCCCAGAAATGCAGCCAACCTATGAATTTCAATTATCCAGAACGATTTACTAATACTATTGTTACGAACCGTCGTTTATTAAGCACGTGTTTGACTCAGTTTTTGCATAAATTTACTCAATTTCGCGGAAGAACGCTCATTTCTGTACATTCTTTGCCATCATGGTTAGAATAGTTAGAATTGGAATCTGCAGACTGGCAGTGAAATTTTGTGCGTTAGAAGTTGGTTAGAAGGGTGGCTGCACTTTTGGGCCCTAAGCCCTCCATGAAGCGATCTGTCCATACTCTCGCTATACAGGTACTCTAGCCCTAACTCAGCAGTTGGGTTTGTCTACAATCGTGACTTCAAGAATGCGTCAAGAGGGTACGAGATGCGACCACCATTCCTTATCCGCCTTGGATAAAGAACGGTGGTCGCAATTCGCATTTCGATTTTGGCTGCCATCTTGAAGATGTGTGACGTGCAGAGGGTACGGGCTTTTACCGCGCGATTTGAAATGTACCCGAAGTGTACCCGATGCCGCGGCGCGCGGCTCATACAAGTTCCAAACGGAATTATGAGTTTTCCTTCCTAATGAAACGCTTTCAGATCGTAGTCTGAGTTAAAATTTTTACTGAGAATTTGCAAGGAAGTTACAATCATTCTTATGTTTAATATTTCTGGCTGAAATTTGTGTTTAAAGAAATGTACCCGATTAGAGTACCTATACATAGAGTCCCTTTATACCCAGAGTTAAGACAACTCGATTATCAGCTGACTGGCAGCCGGCCTTGACTGGCCATGGAGGCCGAAACGAGTGCACCCAAACGAACGATATTGAGGGATAAGGATCAGGAATCCTGCGATGTCTGTCACACAAAAACAACAACATCAACAAATTGATCAATTAAAAAGAAAATGAGATTGGTTTGTGAATAATTTCTTAATCTATTTTCATTTTGGACCGATGGAAATGACAATTTACTCTTGATAAACCACAATTAGGTGATATTTTCATTATTCTTGTTCACATTCGAGGTACCGCCATCTTGGTGCACTCGTTTCGGCCTCCATGAGCGAGAACCAATCAGAATTGGATTTTTTTTTAGGCCACTTTCAGCCGAACCAAAAGTGAGTTGTCTTAACTCTGGGTATAAAGGGACTCTACCTATAGACAGAGAGTATGGCCACTGGAGTTACCACCTCTGATTGGCTCAGCCATCTTAGGCTCCATGGAGCCCTTAGAACCCAAAAATGGCGGACGCCGAGAATTAATATAATGCAAAATGACTCAAAATGTAGTTGTCCTTGCTTATCGTTTAGAGTACCTTTATAGGTACAACAATATAATAACAATAATAGCAGAATAGGTACAAAATAAACAAACAAGATGGCGACTCACCGTAACATCGATAAGAAGCTAAATTTGACAAAAATTTCAATTATACGGCAGTAACAATTTAAACTAGCATATCTACGAATAACACACGAAAAAAACACGAAGACTATTGTTAAATCGCCTTTCACCTTTATCACAGGAGGATGTAAGATGTGCATAACCTCAATCTTGCTTGCTGATAACGGCCATCTTGTTTCTTTATTTACGGCCCTAAGAACATCGTGCGTCCAGGCGTCCAGCCCACCTACAAACAGGAGGGACGAGTTCTATAGGACGCCGTTCTGTTGTGAGCGGGTGATTGCAGCGCATTCTCGCGTAGAATCTTAGTCAACTCAGAGGATCCTTCCCCCCGAACCTCGACTCATCCATCGCCCGCTCCAAAAGTGAGGTTAAGCCGAAGATTGAAAAATAACACATAAGGCGGCTGAATTCTTGAAAAATAAGTATATTTTTGGCGTTTATCGACCCCTCTTGACAAGGAAGGCCCGCGGCAGTAACATGAGGACCGAAAAATTCGATTTTTTGCAGTTATACGCGATCCTACGGATTTTAATGAAGACCAACAACCGATAACAGCAGTGAGTTGCGAGGATCCTACGCGAGAGAGCAGCACTAGTACCTGCTCACGAATTTTTACATTGACTCTTACGGGAGTCCAGGGTCCTATAGAACTGGTCCCTGCTACAAACTAGGGGCCTCAAAGTCAAAGACATAAAGACGGAGCACTAAAAGCAAAAAATGAAGCTTCTAGAGCTTCTTTTCAATCACCTCTACTATTGGCTAGAGGATTGGCGGCGAAATCGGGACAAGTTTGAATTCAAATGTAGGGCGGGAACTGAATAAAATAATTGCGGAAACAAAGTATTCTAGGTTGATTTTTGCCCAAATTCACTTACCCACTCATATTTCTTTAACTTTAGGTTAGCTTTGGTCCGTCGTCGACCGATTAATTTCATTTGGGAGTAACGTTGATCTAGAACTGTAACGGCCTGTTTGAACCTGCAGAACCACCATAAGCAGAAGAAAAACTAACTTTATCTGAGATTACTGCCTGTTACTGAGCAAAAGTAGGTGTATTATATTAGGACGCAGACCGAACTTTCTTAATATAATCGTTTTAGGCATTTAAAACACGTTTAGAGGAAGAAATAAGGAAAAATCAAGAGGACAAGTTCAAATCAAATTTCCGTTTGCCGCCATGGATTCCCGCGCTCATTTACACACTCACACAAGCACCCAGCGCCAAACCAGGCTTCACTTTTTTCCCGTGCTTTTAGATACGAGCACTCCGTCTTTATGTCTTTGCTCAAAGTAGAGTACCTATATTTTGAGAGAGTATGGCCACTGGGTCCCATGGAGAGGCTTAGGATCTGAAAATGGCGGTGCTTTGTTTTGGTTTTTGTGGATGGGAGTAGAGTACCTGTATAGGGAGAGTATGGACAGATCTGAAACTCCGAAAGTCCATCAGGCCTTCACCGATGCCTCCGCGAGTAAAGTTAGGGCCCAAAAGGGCAGCCAACCTATGAATTTCGAATGTCCAGAGCGATTTACAAATACAATTGTTACGAACCGTCGTTTAGAAAGCATGTATTTGGCTTACTTTTTGCATAAATTTACTTATTTTTGCGAAAGAACGCTCATTCATGTACATCCTTAGCCATCTTAGTTAGAATCGAAATCTGTAGGCTGGCAGTGAAATTTTGGGTGTTAGAAGTTGCTCAGAAGGGTGGCTGCACTTTTGGGCCCTAAGCCCTCCATGAACCGATCTGTCCATACTCTCCCTATACAGGTACTCTAGATGGGAGGGGGGTCATTGCCAACTTTTGACGGATATCACCAACCGCACTCGCTGCCAACCTTCCTACATCCAAGATAATTTTTCTCGAAAATTGCACACGATTAGCCTTAAAAATATGTAACGAGGTCGCAATAGTGCATTTTGGTAAATTTCTCGTTACGATAAGCAAAGACAACTACATTTAGAGTCATTTTGCATTACATTAACTTATGGCGTCCGCCATTTTTGGGTCCTGAGGGCTCCATTCAGCCTAAGATGGCTGAGCCAATCAGAGGTGGTAACTCAAGTGGCCATACTCTCTTTCTATAGGTACCTACTCTACCTCAAAGAGGCTCATCGATGGAACTGTTGACTGTTGCCTTTCAAAGATCGTCGGGCCGACGATCTTTGAGGGTAACCGATGTGTTCGGGATACATCACAGATCAGATCTTGAAATTTTCAAGGCATTCCGTGCCGAAATGGCTGAGAAATAGAAGAATTAGTGCCAGTTCGAGAGCCCCAGTTTGTACGTGGGCTGGACGCTTGTGAGCATCTAGAGTCCCTTCATACTCATGCCGCAATCAGACGCTGAATTTAGCAGCTGAATGAGGAAGTCAACAGTCATCGCCCAACGGCTGAAATTTAGCAAATTCGAGTTATTTTCATCCAGATGTGTATTAAATCTACTCGAATTGTTCAGACAAATGCAAAATTGGTCCGATGGTTGCTGAGAATCGTTGCTGAATTTTGCGCGTCACGCGCAAAATTCAGGCATCGGGCCGATGACTTCCACATTCATGCCACATTCAGCTCCCACATTCAGCGTGTAGCCCCACATACACGGTGAAAGTGGACCTTAATATTGGCTTAGTGTGGGAGTCACCGATGCGTTGTTGAGCGGTGAACCTTAATATTCGCCGGGCCGACGATTATTAAGGCTCACCGATGATATTCTGAATCAACGATCACCATTCTCTGCCATCCTCT